CTTGATCCAACTCAGCTGATTCAAATGGCTTAATGACCTTCTCAACACCTCTTATAGTTCTCCAGAGTAATGAACTAATCATTTGATTCAGGTGTGTTGACCCAGGGTGAGATCTAAGGTACCGGCCCTCGAGGCCTGGAATTGCCCACCCCTGTGCTAGAGGGTGTGGTGAGCCATAGCCCCGTCCTCCTGGACATCCAGAATTCTGATAATGTTAATGATACTTTGATGAGTCTGGCGCTAAGAAAATACTAGAACCTCTATATTGCCAAGAAATCAAACAGTCAAATCAGCCTGAGTTCTACTTTTGGTATTTTGCCTATAAGCAAATGTTAGGGAGGATATATATTAGGAGATGGTCACAAGGTCAGTCATGCCCCAGACCCAATTAATTTATTTCAGCAGTAATAATATACAGCAGGAAAAAGAAACATCTACACCAGTCTCCCTTTAACATTTCCTCAGATTTTGCTCATGCTTGCGCTTTGTTTAACCATTGACTCTGACCTCCACAGAGCCTGTAATCTTACACGACTCCACGCCGTGTTACATCGTGAGCAGCTTCCTCAGCCTTTATTGTCTCATCATCACCAGTATGTTCATCAGAGAGGAGGTGGGTCCTGTTTCTCCTTTAGTGCTGAAAGGATTCTGAGTGAATTCTGGTATTTAAAGGAGGAAAGACAGTCAGACTGAGTGTTATTGATCACTTCCAAAGCTACGCAACATTTTACCACATATTTATTTAACTTCCTCTTATCATAAATGTAATGCAGCACCAATGGGGGCTGGGGGGGCAGCCCCCATAATTTGTTGTCCCCCATTAGTCTGACAAGACTACGTTGGTAATAAATCTAATAAACTTGAGCACAATAAAGAGGAAGCCTCCCTACAATGAGTTGAAGCATGAACTTGTTATTTATGTTATTTTTCTCTCTTTTGCCATATTTTTCTAGCAACCTGTATCTGACAGCATATTAAAGCTGTAAATTCTGTTGGTGTGCCATCCAATATTTTTAATGGTTGATTCAGGTTTTGCTTGTTTTTAGCGTTGAGTTGTCTCTGAATCGGGACTTTTAGCTTTGACTTGTTCAGTGTGGTTTTATTTTTAATCCTATGAGCTGACTTGACTTGAAATTTGCATTGACAGAGAGATGTTGTTGGTCACAGTAACACTCCAGTAAACAGCAGACTGTTTTTGACTAAACATATTTCACATTTTCTGTAGTTCTTCAGCACCAAAGTAAAGACAAACCAGGACGTCAACAGAGTAAGTCACAATGAAACCCAAGCAGTAATCTGTGTGTTTGCTGTAGCTTGTTTGTTACTGCCTGTGCTCACAGGTCTTCGGAGTAAATATGTGTACTCTACAGCTCATCTGTAAGTAACTGTTAATGAGGATAATGGTGTAGACTGAAATGTGTTCTTGTGTTCAGGAACTGGAAGGTCTGGATACTGGTAATTTCTCCCTGCAGACAAGACCATGAGACAAAGGAAGAAGAGTAGGTTTGCTGTTCTTGTACAAGCTAATGTGATTGAAGTAACAGGATGAAATGTCACAACAAAATTCTTAATTATGTGTCTTTGTTGCTCTGTTTTTTGTTTTATTCCAAAAACTTTATGTTTCAGTACTGCCTTTATTGTGATTTACCATCCTGCAGCAGCATATTATTAAGACGACTTTTACCAGTTTTCAGGTTCTCTTAAGGTTTTTTGGTTCCTTGGGTCTTGGTGTCAAAGACATTAACTCTGTGGATTAGTTAAGATTGTGATGAAGAATTGAAGGAGCTCTCAGTTTATCAAAGGTTGAAAGAGAAACAAAAAAACACAGAACTGATTTTTATTTGAAGCCCCTCAGATGATTACACAATAAGAAACCATATTAACAGAACTATCATAAAGGATCCCTATAATGCAACATCTGTTTTCAGGGCGGAAGCCACAGGTTAGTATTGGAGTGACTGTAACCCTAATTCAGATAGATTCATAGATAAATTCTTTATTGATCCTACTATAACATATTAAATTATCCTCT